CAATTTTGCATCCAATTGGCTAGCTCTCCCTGTATTCCATGTGATCTAACCTTGCTAAATGGTCTATCATGCGGAATCTTGTTGAATGCCTTGCTGAAGTCCATACAGACAATGTCCACTGATCTGCCCACATCAATCTTCTTCAAAAAACTCAGTCAAGTTAGTGAGAGAATCTCCCAAGCACAAAGCCATATCGACTATCCCTAATCAGTCCTTACCTTTCAAAATACATGCAAATCCCCTATCTCTCATAATCCCCTCCAACCACTTATGTCTATAGTTCCCTGGTTTTTCCTTACCACCTTTCTGAATGGCACCATGTTAGCCAACCTTCAGTCTTCCAGCACCTCAATCATGGCCATCAATGATACAAATATCTCAATAAGGGGCCTAGTAATCACTGCCCCAGCTTCCCACAAAGGTCAGGGGTGCACCTGATCAGATCCTGTGGATTTATCCACCTTTATGCATTTTAAAACGTCCAGCACCTTCTAGTCTCTAATATAGACATTTTTCAATATATCACTATTTATTTCTCCAAGTTCTCTACCTTTACTATCTCACTCATTTCCTGCGGTTCCGCACATAAGTGGCCTTGTTGATCTTTAAAGGGCCCTATTCTCTCTCCTTAATGTATTTGTAGAATCCCTTTGGATTCTTCTTCACCTTATTTGCCAAAACTTTCTCATGTCCCCTTTTTGCCCTCCTGGTTTCCCTCTTACTACCCTTATACTCTTCTAGGGATTTACTAGATCCCAGCTGTTTATGCCTGACATATGCTTCCTTCTTTTTCTTGACCAGAACCTCAATTTCTCTAGTCATCCAGCATTCCCTACACCTACTAGCCTTGCCCTTCACATTAACAGGAACATATTGTCTCTGGACCCTTGTCATTTCATTTTTGAAGGCCTCCCACTTTCCAGCCATCCCTTTACCTGCAAATAGCTACCCCCAATCAACTTCTGTAAGTTCTTGTCTAATACCATCAAAATTGGCCTTCTTCCAAGTTAGAACTTTAACTTTTAGATCAGAACTATTCTTTTCCATAAATATTTTAAAACTAATAGAATTATGATCACTGGCACCAAAGTAACATTTTGAAAATGTTACTAACAAAATTGATAAAGAAAAGCTAAGAGAGATAGTTTTAAGTGGATTTTAAACAATGTTTAAAGTAATTTCAAAGTGTTCTGAATGGGTATTCTAGAAAGTGCAGAATAGATACATTCCAACAAATAAGAAAACTTCTAAGGAACAGACCCATTATTTATGATTGACTAAAAATGTCAAGGATAGTATCAAACACAAAACAAAAGGCATATAATTCTGCAAAGAAAGGTGGCAAGTCAGAAGATTGGACAGAATATTAAAAAAAAAGAATTATTATAAGGTCAATGAGGGAAAAGTTAGAGTACATGAGAAAGCCAAACACATGAAGAGATTGGAAAGAGACTTTTTCTGAAGAAGGGTCTAGGCCCGAAACGTCAGCTGCTTGGCCTGCTACGTTCATCCAGCTCTACACCTTGTTATCTCAAGAGATAGGAAACATTTCTTCAGATATTTCAGAAAGAAGAGTTAACAAAGTAACTGTTGGTCCTATAGAAAAGGAATTAGGAAATTACTGATGGAGAATAAAAAGAGATAGCAGATGAACTGAACAGGTATTTTGTATCAATCTTCACTAGAGGAGATTCAAATAGCATCCTGGAAATAGCTGTAAATTAGGAGTTGAAAAGGAGGGAGAAATTCAAAAAAATTACAATTACCAGGGAAGTAGTACAGAATGGATTATTGGATCTGCAAGTTGTTGAGTCTCCAGGTCCTGACAAATTTCATTCCATGCTCTTAGAAGAGATAGCTTGTAAGATAGTTGATATACTGGTTTAATTTTCAAAATTAAAATGGGGGGAAGAAAGCAGGAAATTACAGGCCTGTTAGCTTAATATCTGTTACAGTGAAACTTTTAGAAGATATTATTAAAGACATTGTAACAGGGCACTTGGATAAGTTCAAGGTATTCAAGCAGTGCCAACATGATTTTCTTAAAAGGGCAATCATGCATAACTGACTTACTGGAGTTCTTTGAAGAAGTAAATTGTGCGAGACATAAAGGGGAACCTGTAGATGTATTGTACTTAGATTTCCGGAAGGCATTTGATGAAGTGCCACATCAAAGGGTATTGTGGAAAATAAAAGTTCAAGGTGTAGGGAATAACTTATTGGCATGAAAAGAGTAGGAACAAATGTATCTTTTTCAGGCTAGCAGAATATCACACGTAGTGAGCCACAGAGATTAGTTTTGAGGCTTCAACTCTTTGCAACTTATATAAATGATTTTGATGAAGGGACAGGTAGGAAAGTGAGTTGTGTAGAGAACATAAGAAGTATACAAATGGATTTAGATTCGTTGAGAATGTATAAAGATCTGGCAAATGCAGTACAATGTGGGAAATTAATCCATTTTGGCAAAAAGAATAAAAGATTTATCTAAACAGTGAAAGGTTGCAGAGGTCCAAGATACAGAGTGATCTGGAAGTCCTAGTGCATGAAGTGCAGAAACTTGGTATGCCGGTATAGAAAGTAATCAGGGAAGCTAGTAGAATGTTTTATTGGAGGGGTATCGAATGCCAGAGTAGGGAAGCTATGTTTTAGTTATACAGAACAATGGCGAGGCTGCTGCTGGAGTGCTGTTTACAGTAACTAGTCACTGTACTGATGGAAGGATGTTAATATGGTGGAAGCTGCCAGGAGTCTTACTAGACGCATACCTGGAATGAGCAGATTTTCTCATAAGGATAAAAGATTAGACAGGCTTTATCTGTAGCCTCTGTAGTTTGGAAAAGTCAGAGATGACTTAATTGAAACATATAAGATCCTGAGAGGACTTGACCAGGTGGTTGTCGAAAGGATCTTCCTCTTGGAGGAGAATCTATCACTAGGGATCATAGTTTAAAAATAAAGTGTCACCCATTTAAGACAGAGATAAGAAGGCATTTCTTTTCATTGGAAGGTTGAGTGTTTGGAATTCTCTTCCTCAAAAGAGATAGGATGCAGAAACTTTAATTTTTTTAAGGCAGAATAGTTTCTTGATTAACAAGATGAAAAATTATCAGGGATATACAGGAATATATAGTTACAGTTAAACAGTTAAAATCAAATTAGTCATGATCTTATTGAATGTCATAGCAGACTCAAATGGTTGAATCGTTTTGTTCAATGTCCGTTTTATATTACATTTTCAGAGTACTTTTGATAAAGTTCCCCACACAAAGCGGAATAAAAACAATTAAGACTCGTGGATAGGAGATAATGTTTTGGCATGAATTAATCATTAAATAACTGACAGGAAATAGAAGATTGATGTTGTTATATTGTGTACAGCGTAACATAAAATTTTTTTCCCTGGTTTCTCTATTCTTTAACTAAGGATTGTACCTAGGTGAGGTTGTTGATTTGATCCAGTCTGTTCATTGAAACAAGAGGCTGGATCATATAAATACTAAACAGAGTAGAACAACATCGCTTCATTAGAGGCCGGACTGATGATGTTACCTAGCATGGTGACGAAACAACTGAACTATAACCAGCCAGCTCAGCGAGCAAATCAACATCCTCATCCACAACCTGAGCTACAAATCTTCGCAAGAACCCTAAAGTGTTCCTAGGTACACTGTACCTAAGATGGCACCTTGTGTTGGTAACTTTGTTAGACTGTAACTAATCCTATAACTGAAGAAGCTGTACCTACGCACCTTTGTACCTAAGATGACACTGTAAGTAATGATTTATAAACTTTTCATGTATTGATTTGAGTATGTGACAATAAAGCTATTTCAATTCAATTCAAATAAATGTGGCATTCTTGTGTTGGCAGGCTGTGATTAGTGGGGTATATTAGGATCGGTCCTCAGGCCTAGCCCCTTGAGGTGCAGTCCAAATTTAATATTTCCAAATTTGCAGATGATACAAAGCTAAATTGAAATTTATATTTTGAAGAATATATAAAGCAGCTTCAGAAGCATTTCAACACTTAGTGAATGGGCAAGAACAGGCAAAGCAATATGGAAAAACATTAGGCTCTCCATTTTTGGTGAGAAAAACGAATGCGCAAAGAATTTGTTAAATGCTGAGATTGGAAACTGTGAACATACAGACCTAGGTGTCCTTATTAAGTCACTGAAGGCTAATATGCAGATCCAGTAAGTTATTAGGAATACTAGTGGAATGTTAGCATAAGTGCACAAGGATTTGAGTACAAAAGTACTGGCAGTTTGTTGCAAGACAACAAGGTGCAGGGCTGGATGAACACAGCAGGCCACGCAGCATCATAGGAGCAGAAAGGCTGACGTTTCGGGCCTAGATACTGGAGCTTGGTTAGACCACACAGAATACAACATGCAATTTTGGCCTCCTCATCACAGGAAAGGTATCATTGCAAATAGTGGGAGCGCAGCAAAGGTTCACCCGTCCTGATCTTGTTATGACAGGACCGTCCTATGAAGATACATTGGACAAACTGCCCTGTATTCTCTAGAGTTTTGAAGAATAAGAGCTGATCTCATTGAAAATTGCATAGCACTTAAAGGGATAGACGGAGTGGATGCAGGTAAGATGATGGGGAACCTAGAAGCAGGGGGCACAATGTAAGGATGATGCCACTTATGTCTGAGATGAGGAGGGATGTTTTTAGTCTAGATGGGTTATGAACCTTTGACATTTTCTGCTACAGAGGAGTGTGGCAGTCTGATCTTTGAGTATGTTTAACATAGAGATCCATAGATTTCTGATTGCAAGAGTATACAGGGTTATAGGGATGGCTGGGTAAAAGGCACCTAAGTGTTTGATCACTCATAATCGTAGTGAATGGTAGGCCACCTCTGATGGGCTAAATCACCTACTCTTGTTTCTATGTATGGTTCAATATCTTGTCTCCAGGTTGTGTCTATTGGTGAAGAACTTTAACAATCATAGTGTTTAAAAAGAAAATGCATAACAGGCTGTATACTATAAATATTTTATTTCTGAACATAGAGACAATTATTTCAGTGAAAGTTAGCAGTTAGTTAGGAATACACGTGGTACATCAGCAGAAATTCTCTCTTCCAAATTCCATTTATTTATCATTCACATAGTCAGCCGGATTCTTCCTCATTGACATTTCATGTTCATTCGTGGCCCAGGTATAAATGAGATATGATCCCACAAATGCTAGAAAAAAAATGCATCAGTTTAACTTCTAAAACAAACCAACTGACAAAGAATATACCACATTCACTCTTTCTGAAGGAAACAGTTCTTATTCAGATAAAAGCAAAGTACTGGAGACATGAATTAAAAACAAAGTGCTAAAAAAACCAAGCAGGTCTGACAGTATCTGTGGAGAGTCAAAAACGGTGAATGTTTTGAGTTCAATATGGAACTGAAGGGGGCTCAAAAACTGATGGGTTTTATGCTGTAAAAATTCAGGAGCAGGAGCAAGTGGAACAGATGGTAAGGGTGTACCAATGAGAGTAGAACAGACATGTAGATAAAGAGTAGGTAGGTCTTAATTGTAGAAAAGTGGGTTAGTTCTCCTGAGAACGGACCTATATAAACAGCACCTCCTTTCTGCCTCCTCGGTGGTCGAGAACACCCTCAACCGTGTCTCCCACATCTCCCGCACCTCATCCCTCACACCCCGTCCACGCAATAAGAACCAAAAAAGAATCCCCCTCGTCCTCACGTACCACCCCACCAACCTCTGGATCCAACGCATCATCCTCCGACACTTCCGCCATCTGCAATCCGACCCCACCACCAAAGACATCTTTCCTTCCCCACCCTTATCTGCTTTCCGGAGGGACAACTCTCTCCGTGACTCCCTTGTCCGCTCCACACTCCCCTCCAGCTCCACCACACCCAGCACTTTTCCCTGCAACCGCAGGAAGTGCTACACCTGCCCCCATACCTCCTCCCTCACCCCCATCCCAGGCCCCAAGAAGACTTTCCACATCAAGCAGATGTTCACCTGCACATCTGCCAATGTGGTATACTGCATCCGCTGTACCC